TTAGTCATCAAGGGGACCATATTACAGACAAAAACAATGAGGTGGGTTCAACAGACACGACATGTTCCAAAAACTCCCAGACAGTGACAATAACCATTTAGAGGGTCGACGCGGCTGTAATTTAGCCTATTGGCGGGTCAGAGCTGGGTCCAACGGACATGACATGTTCCAAAATCTCCTAGACAGTGACTACATATTTCTGATAATGATATCTTTTATGATAATGATTTCTGGGGTTTTTATCATCCCATATCAGGGAGGGAGAAGTATCCCGTTTGCCTCCCTCTGCCATGGAAATGATTATGATATATTACAAGACAAACGGGAAAGAAGTGACAATTGCTTAAAGTAATTGCACTTTACAAGGAGCAAAAAAAAATTCTAGTACTGTTGAAAAAGGTTACATAGAAATTATTTAATACGAATAAATCTTAATCCTACAATAAGGCTGTGTACACATTAGGCGTTTTAAAGAATCGAGTTCTGCATAGGCATACATACTCAAACGCGCACTTTTGGCCAAGCGTGCGTTGATAGATTTTTGTTAAAACGCGCGTTTTACGGGCGTCAGCCGTGCGTTTTCAGATATATGTGCTGCCATGTTGTACATTCGATCACGAGCTTTCGGGTAGAGTGGACGTACGTTGGCCGAATTGGAGAACGATCATTTTGATACTGATCTATTTTTTGATGAAATCTAAAAGAGACCAGCCATCGTCAAATGATTTTATAGATATTCTAAAAGAATTAAAAAATTTGGGTTCATATTAGCTTAGTTTTGGATACAACGTCAGAAACATTCCATGCGTCAGTCTATCTCGTAATATTGGGTGCACCCAAAATTCTCTTTGCCTCTGCCATCGTCTTTTATAGCGACGATGGAGGAGGCACACACAAGCAATTACTTTCACGTCCATTTCCAAACTGAGCCAGTGCTAACGCTCCACTAAACGGTCGTCGAACGCCGAGCTAACGCGCGTTTAACGCAACGCAAAACGCCTAATGTGTACACAGCCTTAAGCACCGCGCGCTTTGAGATACATGTGCTGTCATGTTGTTGTACATTCGATCGCGCTCTTTCGGGTAGAGTGGACGCACGTTGGCCGAAATGGAGAACGATCATTTCGATACTGATCTATTTATTGATGAAATCTAAAAGAGACCAACCATCGTCAAAGGATTTTATAGATATTTTAAAAGAATTAAAAAACTTGAATTTATTTTGTCTTAGTTTTGGATACAACGTCGCAAACATTTCATGCGTCAGTCTATCTCGTAATATTGGGTGCACCCAAAATTCTCTTTGCCTCTGCCATCGTCTTTTATAGCGATGATGGAGGAGGCACACACAAGTAATTACTTTCACGTCCATTTCCAAAATGAGCCAGTGCTAACGCTCCACTAAACGGTCGTCGAACGCTGAGCTAACGCGCGTTTAACGCAACGCAAAACGCCTAATGTGTACAAGCCCTAAGATTCGTTTTTAGAGTCTTAAACTTAGCTTCATGAGTCATATGTCAGCCAGACATTTTTCACTCGTATTGCTATAATTCAGAGGACCATCAAACAACTTCAAAACAAAAACCGAATTAGTGGGAGGATTTATAACAACGATGTAATTAATATAAGCGAAGTGAGGAACAAACAGCCAATGAGGTAGCATTTAAATCGACTTTGTGCTCACTTTTAATGTGCGTCCTAATTTTCAAGATCAAAAAGTCCAAAAAAGGTGCGCTTTAGAATCAAGAAAATAAATACTACTACTTTTATTATAAATTATTTTTATTCTGTCATTTCTAGGTGATTTTATTACGTTTATCTGAATACATTTTCTTTTTAGTGAAGTTTTAAATTTAAAAAATATTTTGCAAATCCGAAACAAAAGAATTTGTTAAAAAGAATCTTTCCTTTAAAAAATGTCATTAAAATACAGTAGATACCCCTATAAGACGGGTTCCTATAATTACGATTCCTATAAGACGGCGAAAAAAATGTGGCGGTATCCGTAAACAACGGTAAAAAAAAACTCCTATAGTTACGTAAAACGTCATCGGGCAGCCGAACTACTTTCCGCCGTCCAGCGCCACGCTACGGACAATTTAGACGGGTAAATTGAGTATAGTATCGTCTGTACATATAATTATATATAAATAAGGTTCTGTATATATAATTATATATTAACTTAATTTATTGTAACTTTATTATAATTATATATATACTTTCCGCCGTCTAGCACCACGCTACGGAGAGTTTAGGCGAGCTATCGTCTGTACAATATGTAAATTAGGTACAGTAAGTCTAATACAGTACTGTAATTTTATACATTCCTTGTGAAAGAAACATTTCTTATTCAACGGCGATTAAAATTATTTAAATGATGTCTCCAAAGTCAACGAAGTTTTCGCAGAAAAATAACATCAGAAATCGCGGCCGCGGTTTGCTGCGCTGTTCCGCGACGAAAACAAGCTTGAGCAACGGCGATGTCGAATGGTGCACACTCAAATGTTATATTCCATTTCCAAAGAGACGTGGAATCATTTTTGAAACTTCTTTTGCTCAAAAAATTTACAAGAAGCAAAACAACAGAAAGGTAAGGCATTTTTATTTTCATTCTAATTTGTTATGATACATTGATGCAATAAAAAATGGTATATAAAAGTTTGAATCCTAATTGATAAATCTAATAATTTATTATTGTAGAATAATGTTTGAAAAATAATTTTATTCATTCATGCCATTTAGAATAATATGAATTACAATTTTACTTAGAAAAATTAATTTACAGTAGAACGTCGTTTATCCGAAAGTCGGTTATCCGAAGGATTCCAGTCGGCAAATTGTAGGTAAGTAATCCTACAATTTTTTGTTTATAGCGTAGTTTATACGGATTATTTCCAAAAAATATACGTATTTTGGAAATGTTGAGTCGAATTAGTCTAGAATCGATTAACTTTATGGAAGAAAACCTTTCAAACAGCCGTAGTCCGTAAACTTCACACGTGTCGGGCTGTGATTGGCTGTGATTCCTACAAAATTGATTCATAAAGAACGGAATGTATCTACCTTCTTATAGGGGGAGCGACTGTACTTGAAATATTACATCTATGACGTAAAACTCGTGACGTAACGCGTGATGCATTGCAACATTCGACGGATTCGAATTCGTTCCATTTCGTATTGCCGACGCCATCTTGGAATAGAATGTTTTCTGGAAATTGCGAGTTATTTTTCCCTCCATTTTAACATTTTTCGTACAGTTTTAATAACGAAAGCTTGCGTAACGTAGGTAACTTAATATTTTTCGATTAATAATACTGTATATCAAAATTAAATAAGCTTTAAACCTAGATTTGCGGCCTGTAACTTGTAAGGATATGGAATACGTTTTTATAATTTTATTTATTACAAATTTCTTAGCAATATTTTACAAAAAAGAGACTATTTTAGCATTTTAAACAAAACATTTGCAATTAGTTAATATTCTGACGTAGAACTTATGACGTAACGTGTGACGCATTTATCGCATGTTCGACCGATTCGAATTCGTTCGATTTCGTATCGCCGGCGCCATCTTGAAATAGAAAGTTTTCTGGAAATTACGAGTTATTTTTCCCTCCATATTGACATTTTTCGAAAAAGTTGAATTACATAAACCCGAACAACGCAGGTAATGTAAATTTTTTTATTTATAAGCGGTCAAAATTGAATAATTGTCGATAGAACATTAAATGTAAAAGTCTGTTTTTAGATTTAAATTTTCGTTAAAAATATTTAAGATTGTTTCCATTTAGCATCGAATCAGAGTACAAATAATATTCGCTTGGATATTGTCTTATATTCTTTTCAATGAGACAATAAATGTCCTGTATTAGAAAATTATTTTAATTAATTAATCAATCAATCATCTTGATCTTTTCTATTCTTAATAATTAAATTCTTAAATTATTCTAGGAAGAAGTATCATTCTCAAATGTTATATTCCATTTCCAAAGAGACGTGGAATCATTTTTGAAACTTCTTTTGCTCAAAAAATTTACAAGAAGCAAAACAACAGAAAGGTAAGGCATTTTTATTTTCATTCTAATTTGTTATGATACATTGATGCAATAAAAAATGGTATATAAAAGTTTGAATCCTAATTGATAAATCTAATAATTTATTATTGTAGAATAATGTTTGAAAAATAATTTTATTCATTCATGCCATTTAGAATAATATGAATTACAATTTTACTTAGAAAAATTAATTTACAGTAGAACGTCGTTTATCCGAAAGTCGGTTATCCGAAGGATTCCAGTCGGCAAATTGTAGGTAAGTAATCCTACAATTTTTTGTTTATAGCGTAGTTTATACGGATTATTTCCAAAAAATATACGTATTTTGGAAATGTTGAGTCGAATTAGTCTAGAATCGATTAACTTTATGGAAGAAAACCTTTCAAACAGCCGTAGTCCGTAAACTTCACACGTGTCGGGCTGTGATTGGCTGTGATTCCTACAAAATTGATTCATAAAGAACGGAATGTATCTACCTTCTTATAGGGGGAGCGACTGTACTTGAAATATTACATCTATGACGTAAAACTCGTGACGTAACGCGTGATGCATTGCAACATTCGACGGATTCGAATTCGTTCCATTTCGTATTGCCGACGCCATCTTGGAATAGAATGTTTTCTGGAAATTGCGAGTTATTTTTCCCTCCATTTTAACATTTTTCGTACAGTTTTAATAACGAAAGCTTGCGTAACGTAGGTAACTTAATATTTTTCGATTAATAATACTGTATATCAAAATTAAATAAGCTTTAAACCTAGATTTGCGGCCTGTAACTTGTAAGGATATGGAATACGTTTTTATAATTTTATTTATTACAAATTTCTTAGCAATATTTTACAAAAAAGAGACTATTTTAGCATTTTAAACAAAACATTTGCAATTAGTTAATATTCTGACGTAGAACTTATGACGTAACGTGTGACGCATTTATCGCATGTTCGACCGATTCGAATTCGTTCGATTTCGTATCGCCGGCGCCATCTTGAAATAGAAAGTTTTCTGGAAATTACGAGTTATTTTTCCCTCCATATTGACATTTTTCGAAAAAGTTGAATTACATAAACCCGAACAACGCAGGTAATGTAAATTTTTTTATTTATAAGCGGTCAAAATTGAATAATTGTCGATAGAACATTAAATGTAAAAGTCTGTTTTTAGATTTAAATTTTCGTTAAAAATATTTAAGATTGTTTCCATTTAGCATCGAATCAGAGTACAAATAATATTCGCTTGGATATTGTCTTATATTCTTTTCAATGAGACAATAAATGTCCTGTATTAGAAAATTATTTTAATTAATTAATCAATCAATCATCTTGATCTTTTCTATTCTTAATAATTAAATTCTTAAATTATTCTAGGAAGAAGTATCATTCTCAAATGTTATATTCCATTTCCAAAGAGACGTGGAATCATTTTTGAAACTTCTTTTGCTCAAAAAATTTACAAGAAGCAAAACAACAGAAAGGTAAGGCATTTTTATTTTCATTCTAATTTGTTATGATACATTGATGCAATAAAAAATGGTATATAAAAGTTTGAATCCTAATTGATAAATCTAATAATTTATTATTGTAGAATAATGTTTGAAAAATAATTTTATTCATTCATGCCATTTAGAATAATATGAATTACAATTTTACTTAGAAAAATTAATTTACAGTAGAACGTCGTTTATCCGAAAGTCGGTTATCCGAAGGATTCCAGTCGGCAAATTGTAGGTAAGTAATCCTACAATTTTTTGTTTATAGCGTAGTTTATACGGATTATTTCCAAAAAATATACGTATTTTGGAAATGTTGAGTCGAATTAGTCTAGAATCGATTAANAGTCGGAGTCGGCGGATTTTTTGACGACTCCGACTCCGACTCCGACTCCTGCTAAAACATCAAAACTCCACGACTCCGACTCCGACTCCGACTCCACAGCCCTGAAAAATATATAAAAATACTGTATTATACTCTGTAACACTACTAAACTTGTGCCTTATACCCCGTTCGCCTAGCGGCCGGATGGCCGAGCGGTCAATGTGGCAGCCTACCGCGCTGGGGGACCCGGACTCGAATCCGAACGGGTCAAAAAATCCCCAGAAATCTTTCGAGGGGGTGGTCCATTCGGATATGTCGGGCCCCGTCCCTCACCACCCGGCAGCTCCATTGTGGGCCTAGCCGAACCCATAATGGGCTTGCAAAGAGGCCCTCTTAGTGCCCACAGAGCGGAAAGAGTTAAAAAAAAAAACTGTTCGCCTTGGTGCGACCTCCCTCGACCATTTCAATCTCGACTGAAACGAAGTTCAATCGCGATCGACTCAAGAGAGTTCTTGAAACTAGATCCAGTCGTAAGAGAGATCTCACAATCCCACGCGCGCGAGAAAATATAAGACGGCTGCGGAACACGTGCCGGGCCATCGACAGCAAAATAAAAAAATATTGTATTTCGAGAGACGATGACATCTGTCTATTATTAGATATATCGTAAAAATCTATATCTATATATATATAAATGGACGTGTATGTCCCTATATTTCACTTTTCCGCCAAAACTACACATCTCACGTGAATGGTGTTTGTATGTGGTGATAGCCCCAAGTCTCCATTCGTGCACCAGGGTGGTCGCGTCTCGATAGCTATAAGGGTGCGAGAGATATGGGGCTGAAAGTGGTTGAAAGTGGCTTTCTATTTCGAATTTGTTCGAATTAAATTCGAACATAAAATTCGAATATTGGTTCGATTATAGAACGATTGTAAACGTTCCAGAAACGTTGAAAATAGTTCGTTTGACTAAACGTAAAAATTCTCTAATTAGTCTGGAAACGGGGGACCTAATTCTTGCATTCTGTGAAAACGGGTAAGATTAGCTATAATGTAATTATCTTAATCTTCACTATCGTTACTTTTTGCCAGCGAAGCGGGTCCTTGCAGCTAGATTCTAGATTACTTAGAAAAACAGTCTTTTATATATATAAACAAAACTATATTACATACAAATAAAAACCCAGCGAAGCGGGTCCTTGCAGCTAGTAAATAAATAAAAAGTATTATAATTATTTCTAATCAAAACTTTCATTTTGTTTGTCGGTGTTCGTGACGAACCGCGTACTTTTTCAGTTTTATCATCGCGTGTAATATCCAGGTTCTTCTCAAGTTGACTGTGCATAGGCAGTCAACTTGAGACAAAAATTGTTAAGGAAACGTTTTCTGTTAGCAAACCCTTTGTTAAATATTTCGAATATGCCCGAAACGCGTATCGGCCTATAGGATATTCCGAATAAAGATGATGTAGAAATGCCCTGTGTCTATGCACCTAGTCGTGAAGATAAAAACAGATAAAAGAAGACACGGTTTCAGAATACACAAGTTCATATTTATAAATCCAAGCTTGTGTCCAATTCTGTAATTTTACTAATTATAGGTTAAGAGCTTTAATATAGTAATGCATCAGTAATTATATTCGTTTACTAATCAATTTGTTTAACGAATATTTTACTCGTTATTATCATTTACAATTTTTTCATAAAACTCGTTCCTACCATTAAAATTCAGCTTTTTGTCATTTTATAATATTTTATCTAATAAAACTTTATATTTTTAATTATTTTAACAAATGGCATCACGCGCAGTTTTATATGTTGCCGGGAAAGTTAAACAACTCGTTGCTGGATTTTTTAATGATCAGTCATATAATTATTCGAGGGATTGAAAATAGATTAAACAACTAAAGAACCAAAATACTAAAAATCACAAGTTTGGTTGTATGACAGTTCTACTCTCCAACATTAATATTGTGTTTTTTACAGTAGACCCCTATAACACGGTAGATACGTTCCGTTTTATATGAATTCCATGTTGTATGAGTTACTTAAATACATGAGCCAATCACAGTCTGGCACGTATGCAGTTTACGGACTACAGCTGTTTGAAAGGTTTTCTTCCATAAAATTAATCGATTCTAGAGAAATTCCACTCAACATTTCCAAAATACGTATAATTTTTTTTGGAATAATCCGTATAAACTATGCTATAAACAAAAAATTGTAGGATTACTTACCGAGTGTGCACCGTTCGATGACGCCATTGCTTAAGCTTGTTTTTGTCGCGGAGTGGCGCATCGAACGAGGGGGCGCGTGTTTCCTGATAAGTTATTTTTCTGTGAAAAATTCGCTGAACTTTGGAGACATCATTAATATAAATATAATTTTTATGGCCGTTAAATAATAAATGGTTTTTAGCAGGTCTGCTGCTCGTTTAAACTCAACGGTTTGTATAATATCCGCTATTGGTCCGGATTCGGCCAATCCTGTCGCGACACGAGTCTGCGATGACGTTTTACCGTGTTATACGAACACGATCGCAATTTTTTGCCGTGTTATATGATCCTGCGTTATACCCCTATAACACGGTGTACTGTATTTTTATTTTTTCTAGTTTAACATTGCCGTACGCATATAATAACTTAAATGGAAGCTTGCTTTAAATTTCTGATTAAATTATAAAGATCATTAAATTTTTCGTAAAAAGTTGCCGCGTAAAAAATTTTGTCTCAAAAAGTGATAAATCTTCCGCTCGTTGATAGGAGAAGGCCAAGGACTTTAAACTACAAGGATAGCCAGATCCCGTATATTTGTTAGCATGACCTTGGATCTATGTGACGCCACAGCAAGTCCTCTACTTCAACATGACAGACCTTTCAAATAACAAAATACGATAAAATATTAAATCATTTCTTAATTAATTATTAAATTACTACTAAATGTAAACTACTGTAGAATTTTCGGATTTAATAAGTGTACTGTACGTCAATAAATTTACAAGTCTTTTGTCTAATATTTATTTAACAAATTAATGAGCTATATTTTTTATTATGTGATTATCTTACTTAACTTTTTAATTTTTTTTCGACAATCACCATTTTCAGAAGGCATTCTTTTCAATATTTTATAGTTTTCTTGTTTAAGATTTCTATAATTAATTCTTATTATAGTTCTTAATTTACAAAAATCTTTTATTAAAGTAAAAGGTAAAACTGTTTCCACTGACTAATTCTGTACAACTCCGGGGCCTTTTTTATACGATTCATCGTGATATATTTCGAAATATTTATTCCATTCTATAATTTTTGCTAGCCATTCATCAGTAGGTTTAATAAGCCCTCCATAAGATAAATGTTGCACCCATGACGGAATGCTATAGTTGTAATGATTTTTAATTTTGTTAGTGGAATTAATTAAGTTTGGGTATTTTTCTTTATATTTATAGGCAAAATATCCTGCTATATACTCGAGAGCATCGTAGGAAGTTTCTTCAGAGATTGTGTTAAAGTCTAGATTGCATGTAGAGTTTCCTGAAGATTTATTTGAAGAAAAAGTAGTTTTACATTCAGTATATTGGTCTGTATTTTCACTTGATACTTCTACATGTGCTTTCTCTAAAACTTTGGGTATAATATATTCCTCTTGTCTTCGATCTGTAGTATTTACTTTTGACTCTAAAATACCAGGATTCTTACCTAAAATAATCAATCTAATCCTATATATAGCATTTAATGGGCTTGGATGTTCATTAGGACCCCGGCTTCTAATTTGAAAAAAAAAAATTTTCCAGACAATCTTGATTTAAGTGCAGATGTATTTTATATCAAAAGTCGATTTCATATCTTGAAAAAGATCAATTAGCGATTTCATTGAGATTATCATTCCTTTCTGGAAAATTTGGAGGGCATTTTTTCCACTTGCTCTCATTGTTGAGATTATTTTTATCATTTTATTTAAATGTTCTTCTTGTAATTCCAAGTCTACACCATATCCATTTTTGCTTGGAACAGAACCTTTTGGTGCATAGCTATTAAAAATGTCGAACCACATATTTATATCTCTAATATACGTTTCATTGATAATAATAATTGATTCATAATAAACGTTTCATTGATATTCACATTCAATTCTTTCCATAAACTTATGTTACTGCAACTACAGTCACTGACGCAAGCTACTACATTATACGATAGTAAATAAAGTTCTGCTATTAATTTTAAAAGTATTTCTCTTGTCATTTTTTGATCAAACCCGATGTAAACAGGTTGCTTCCAATTTGAAAAAAGAAGGTTATTATTACAACCATACACAGCACACCTAGTACTCAGCATTTTGTTCTTCACCTAACATAAAAATATAGCTTTAAATATTTAATGACTTATATTTAAATCATCTTACCTTATAAAAAATTTAGTCAAATAAAACAATTACAGAAATATTAAAATAAATCACTTCGTTAATCACAAAATTGAACGAATATTAAAAGCGAAAACTAAACACGTGCACACCCTGCTCTATGTAAACAGAGAGGTCAGGACTCGTGCTGACGTCACTAACTTGTCATTCCTGGCTAACATTGTAGAATAGGGATCTGGCTATCCTTGTAGTATACAGTTTTTGGGAGAAGGCAGATTTTAAAATTTTTTCTGAATCTAAGTTATGTGCCAAAATTACATTCTATAGACCATACGTAAACCAAGGTATTTTAATTTTTGCAATATTTTTTTCTAGAGATAATTAACTTTTTTTATAATATAATACTCATATTATGCAGTACAATATACTACCGTATATTATTTGATATTATTTGTATATATACATAAAATGCTTGCATATTTCAGATGGCGCTGGAACTCGAGCATGGTTTCCGCGAGTTGCCGTGTTATTTTCGTTAATTAAAGTTGAACGTTTTATATTTAAAAAACTACAATTGAGATATAACAGGAACAACAACAAAATTTTAGTGATTTTTCAATAAAGAAAAGAAAAATGAGTAATATATATATTCAAGAACCTCCAACACTTGGAAAAGTAAGTTAATAAATCAAAATATGTTAGATTAAGTCAATTTACTTGTGTTTGTGTATATCTAAGATAAAACTGTTTTGAATAATTTGAAAGTTTATCATCATCTACATCTTTATATCTATGTACAAATAATCATTTAAATAAATTATAGTAAGCATTGGTAATAATTATTATAATAATAAAATATGCAATATCAGTCTTTTAATTGAATTATTTTAGATCCATGTTATACAGTAATCTAGTCACTGAGCTAAATGATTAGCAATTTTGACATCCCAAACACATAGTTTCTTTTCAATTTGTTCATATAGAATTCTAGTAGGGTAAATGATGCTTAGTAGAGAGAAAATCATGTCATGTGTTGGGACCTTGAATAAGTTCTCGCTGTTCTCCAACAGATGGCGTTACCAGAACTGCTTGCATGTAGTTTAAGATGATTGTGCATCTGAAAGGATACCATAAGCAAGCTTGAAATTTAGTATATGTCATTTCGCCAAAATATAAACAACTTTTTTTCGTAGTGTTAAACATGTCAAGTTTCGTACCAAAAAAAATATTTGTGGAGAATTTTATTGCACTATTTTATTCAAAAAAAAAATCTGCAGCCGAAGCACACAGAATTCTTGTTGAGACTTATGGTGACCCTGCTCTATCAGAAATAACATGCAGAGATTGGTTTAGATGCTTCAGAAATAATGATTTTGATTACACAACAGTTTCGAAACATTTCAAGTATTAGGATTGATTCAAAAGCAAGGATGTTGGGTGCCATACGAGTTGAAGCTGAGAGATGTCAAATGGCATCTTTTCACATGTGAACAGCTTCTTCAATGGCAGAAAAGGAATGTTTTTTTGCATTGTATTGTGACTGGTGATGAAAAGTTGATATACTATGATAACCCTAAGTGTAGAAGATTGTGTGGTAAGCCCAGTCATGTGTCAGCATGTCTGTGTCGGCAAAGCCGAATATCCATGGTTTGAAGCTTCTGCTCTGCATTTGGTGGGATCAGCTGGGATCAGCTTGGGTGGGATAGTTTATTATGAGCTGCTCAAACCAAACAAAACTATCACGGGAGATCGCTATCGACTACAATTGATGCATTTGAGCCAAGCATTGAAGGAAAAACAGCCACTATACAAGCAGAGACACGACAAAGTGATTTTGCAACATGACAATGCTCGGCCACATGTTGCACAACCGGTAAAAACCTACTTGAAAACACTTAAATGAGAAGTCCTACCCTACCTGCCATATTCACCAGACAGTGCCCCTTCTAATTATCACTTGTTCCAATCGAGGGCACATGGCCTGGCTGAGCAGCACTTCCATTCTTATGAAGATGCCAAAAAATGGGTCAATTCTTGGATAGCCTCAAAAGACGTGTCAGTTTTCTGACATGGAATTCAAATGCTGTCAGAACAATGGGAGAAAGTAGTGGCTAGCAATGGACAATACTTTCAGTGGCATGTTTTTACAACTTTTTTTAAATAAAGCATTAATTTTCACGAAAAAACAGCGAGAACTTATTCAAGGTCCCAATAGTATTTACAAATTGTACAAATATTTTTAAAAAGTAATGCATTGTATTAGATAGTTATATTTTTTTATTATTATTTAGCAATAATATCTAATCCACAATAAAATTTTAAATTAGTCAAGTTATTCAAACATTTCTCATGCATGAAAGATTCATGTATTGGAATTGCAATAATCCAAAATTTGGTTTATTCCTAAATATGAATTGTTGTTTGTTCTAATGTTTTCATATGTAAAACTCCTGTAACAAGAAAAAATTCTTAATTAATGCAATAAAACTTGATTTGATAGATTGAAAATTTGATTTATTTAGATCTAGATAAAAATACAGTAATTTAATTTGAAAAAGTTAAAGGGTAACACTGAAAGATGTTTGCTGTTCTTTGAAATGGCTTGGTCTGTATTTGATGGCAGCAACTGCATACAGCAGTGGTCACAGAATATTATTGCTTATTTATTTGTTTCACATTTATTCATATTTGTGATATAGGNGAAGCTTCTGCTCTGCATTTGGTGGGATCAGCTGGGATCAGCTTGGGTGGGATAGTTTATTATGAGCTGCTCAAACCAAACAAAACTATCACGGGAGATCACTATCGACTACAATTGATGCATTTGAGCCAAGCATTGAAGGAAAAACAGCCACTATACAAGCAGAGACACGACAAAGTGATTTTGCAACATGACAATGCTCGGCCACATGTTGCACAACCGGTAAAAACCTACTTGAAAACACTTAAATGAGAAGTCCTACCCTACCTGCCATATTCACCAGACAGTGCCCCTTCTAATTATCACTTGTTCCAATCGAGGGCACATGGCCTGGCTGAGCAGCACTTCCATTCTTATGAAGATGCCAAAAAATGGGTCAATTCTTGGATAGCCTCAAAAGACTTGTCAGTTTTCTGACATGGAATTCAAATGCTGTCAGAACAATGGGAGAAAGTAGTGGCTAGCAATGGACAATACTTTCAGTGGCATGTTTTTACAACTTTTTTTAAATAAAGCATTAATTTTCACGAAAAAACAGCGAGAACTTATTCAAGGTCCCAATAGTATTTACAAATTGTACAAATATTTTTAAAAAGTAATGCATTGTATTAGATAGTTATATTTTTTTATTATTATTTAGCAATAATATCTAATCCACAATAAAATTTTAAATTAGTCAAGTTATTCAAACATTTCTCATGCATGAAAGATTCATGTATTGGAATTGCAATAATCCAAAATTTGGTTTATTCCTAAATATGAATTGTTGTTTGTTCTAATGTTTTCATATGTAAAACTCCTGTAACAAGAAAAAATTCTTAATTAATGCAATAAAACTTGATTTGATAGATTGAAAATTTGATTTATTTAGATCTAGATAAAAATACAGTAATTTAATTTGAAAAAGTTAAAGGGTAACACTGAAAGATGTTTGCTGTTCTTTGAAATGGCTTGGTCTGTATTTGATGGCAGCAACTGCATACAGCAGTGGTCACAGAATATTATTGCTTATTTATTTGTTTCACATTTATTCATATTTGTGATATAGGCTTAGTACTTTCCTATATATATATATAAACATTCTCAAACCTGAATTTTAATTAAAGCCAAATAATCTACTAATTAAACAATCTAGAGATAGGCATCTATCTCTAGTCAAATTACGGTTTATTTAATTATTAAAATTAGTAATCATCGAAGACAAGTCTGTCCAAAAGGGACCACCATTTATTTTGTATTCCAGACTTTACACATATACATTCACTAAAAAGGAAGGCCTGTCGCCATGTGCATCTGAAAGGATGCACATGGTATGTGTAAAGTCTGGAATACAAAATAAATAGTGGTCCCTTTTGGACAGACTTGTCTTCGATGATTAATAATAATCTAGCCATCGAATGGAAAATCAACAAAAAAAAATATAT